TGTTTGTTTACATGTAGCGGGCGTTACACTTCATGGCAAGTCAAGGATTTACCTATGAATATTCTCTGCAAAATCATGCAGTTGCAGAAATGCAATTAGGCTTTATTTAAAAACCTGTGCATATACCTTGTGTCATTAATTTTTTTAAGAGGCGATCTGGTATCATGACAGAATGCATTTTACTTACACCAAAGCCGCTAAACAGATTTGGCCTTTGGGCAATTGCAAAGAGAAATAGACTGAATAGTTAGTGTCGTGGTTGCCATGTCAAGCCACGCAGCAACACTCAATTTTATTTTGGCACAAAGTGTCACCAGTCTCATTGAAAATTTACTGTAAGAACTACATTACCTAATCAACTTTCTAGATTTGTTCACCAAAAAATGAATAGATAGTATTTAAATTCAAATGTCTTGGCAATGGGCAATGTCAAGATCTCAACTCTCAAGATCTTCTGGGTTCTGGACACTTCTGGTGATATATATTTTGACTAGCCTAGTCAAAATATTTGCAATCTGTAGTCAAGGCATTGTCTTGACTCTTGACCACAGATCGCTTTAGGGGTGGGGGAGTTCTTTCACATGTAAGATAGGCAAAAATTACCAGCCAGGCACATAAATAGACGGTCTGAAAACGCTGATCTTTAATTACCTGGCTGCTGTTGTGTGGGAATGGGATGGTGCTCAACTGCTCATGCAGTTATTCTCAGTTCTCACCATCCTTGACTGAATTTCAGTTCCACAGTATGACAGTAACATCTAGTCTTGTATCCTTGCCACCTTGAATGCCTATTTTAGGCGCTAGCCATGGTCAGGAAGATGTGCCAGGTGCAAATGAATTTATTTTGTCATTTTAATGACCTGCGCGGTGCACCATACTATGCCGGTAAAAAAATGTGCCGTGCGCCATTTTTTTAGAAAGCTAAAATAGTTTAAATATGGACGCGTGGCAACGCAAATTACGCAATCACACTGACCGTACACTGTACACACAAATGTGTATTGGCATTGTGTTGTGGTTGGATATGAGTTAACTAGATTGCTAATGTGTCAACTCAGGTTCTAAGAGTCAGCACAGTTATGAATATTCATTCATAGATCACACCACACTCAGTCCGGCCATTTCTTCCAGAGTACTGAACAGATCTGAATGAAATTTTGAATATGAATTTCTGAATACTGAACGGTGATGTTTAGCTCGTGAAAATTTCATATGTTTTGCCTTCGTTGGCGAGTATTTTTCTCTCTTCCCTCATTTGTGATTTAGAAAGAAATATGGTGCTTAAATTCGCAGTGTACCAGAGGTTTCTTCTAAAATACTGAACAGATTCGAACGAAACTTTGCATATAGAAACCTAACTTCCAAACGGTGATGTTTAGCTTGTGACAATTTTTTCGATTTTGCCTTCGTTTGCGAGTTATACGGATATACAGAGAAACGACCGGCATTTCTCAGGCCGATTTTTGAACTTGCATTGACCAAGAGCCATATATGTAAAGCCGTATAACTCGCAAACGAAGGCAAAATACATCATCATACATCATCCTGAGCGTGGGGTGCTAGGGACTTTGTCATGCGCTACTGAACATTCACACTTATTGTCACTGCAAACTTATCTCCTCCCTAGAGTTTTTAAGCTACAGCAATGAGTGATGAACCGTTCTATTTGCAAATAAAAGATCTAGAGATTGGCTGTAGCTTTTTTTTCAATTTCGTTATAGTTTTGAAAATATTTTGTAAAAAGGGGGGAAATTCAAAAGGGTAGGTGGGGAATCAAATTTTTTTCCAAAAAATGCCCACCTCACCCACAAAAATTAGAATTTCAAAAAACAGCAAGGACCAATTGGTAGATATGGTACTAATGCATTGTATGATAAGTGTCAATGTTGTTGCATGAAAATCCTAGGAGGAGATAGATTTCTACAGTACCCCCTTTTTGGCTGTTCATAAGAATTTCACGTTTTCTTTCATTTTTTTGGGAAAATTCACACAAACAAAAAAGTCTTAGATTTATTTTTTACATATATGTACCAAGTTTCAAAGTGATCTGTCTGTAAATAACTGAAATAAAATTTCCACAAGAAATTGGAAATTTCCATTGGAAATTTTATTTTGGTTATTTACAGACAGATAACTTCAAAACTTGGTACACATATGTGGAAAATAAATCTAAGACTTTTTTTGTTCATGTGAATTTAAAAAAAAATGAAAGAAAACGTGAAATTCTTAGAAAACCGGTGTTTTTTTAAAGATGACTTGATAGTCTGATTTGGTGGTAAAGGGTTAATAATGATTAGTTGCCAGTCTTAGTAGCTTAAGGCTAAGCCTTGAGGATCTTTTGTTAACATAAGTGTCTTCTGCCCAATTTTCTAAATCAAGACCTTCTGAAGTCAGAGATTTTGATTTTAATCTGTTACCAAAGATCTTAAAATATTTGCTCCCTTGCTAGATGTCACTCTGGTTAAGTTGCTTCATTCTGCCACCTGTTTCTAGCTGGCAGTAAGAAAATTTTCTTTTCATATTTTATTGCCCTAAAAATTTTCATATTTGAGCATTTGCAAGAGAGAGAAAGAAAATTGGGAAAAGTCCTACTTTTTTCTGAATTATCACAGCTCTAATATAAAAAAATTTCAGTAGGTCTGAAATTGCTTCTAATGTCATGTATTTTTGTTCGATTATGAAAAATCATAGTTTGCATTTTGCAATCATGTTGTTTCATAAAATTTTTAACTCTGGTAATTTGCAGTACTTCAATGCTCCTGCCAAAATATCCTGCAGAACGTAATAATGAGTTAACCCAAAACGTTCTGAAGATTGCATAGTTGCGGTCACCAGGTCACGTCAGAGCAGTCAGACTGCATTATCACATGCTCAGTTATCACTAAAGTAAAGACAAATAAGACAAATGTTATTGTTGCTGTTTGACTGTTTTTAGGGTAAAATTAGAGCTTTGGGGTAATATGTGCACAGGACTTTGTAAGTAAGTTCACAGCTCGTAAATGGCTCTTTATGGCTAAGATATGGAATTCACGGCTTGAAGAAATGGAATCATGGCTTTCAAATCCATTAAACCACGGCTCAAAAAATCCAGTTGCGACTTACCAAGAAGATATTATCCATGCCTGAGAGAGAGAGAGTAACTTTTGTTTGGCAATTTCAATAGTATAAATATATATTTGGAATTACTCTATTATGTATATGTAGTATTACTTTTTTTCCAGTTTCATACTATCCATGCACTATTCCTTTTGATCAATGGAAAATTGAGCAAAAGCCAATCATGAATGAGACGAAAAAGCCCACATTTTCAGTTGCAGACAATAACATAACTGCCGTCAACTCGGGACGGGCGGGGTAACTTGGGACAGTCCTCCGACACGGCGTAAAACTATTTTAGTAGCAAAACTAATTGGAATATTGCAAAACTAAATATAGTGGCATAAACGTCAACATTTTTCCTATGTATGTAGTACAAAGAAAGTTCAAAAGTACTACCTACATTTACAAGCTTTGAAAAATTCCTGAAAAAATGATGAAAAACGATATTTTGAAAAGTTACTTCTGCTAAGGTCTGTAGTAAAAAAATATTTGCCATATTAAAAAATTTCAATTAGAAAAAAGTGGCAGACAAGTGTCAGCATGAAAACTTTACTTGCGGAATTTACATACCTCAATCCAAAACGGCGGGGCTACTCGGGACACCCCAAAAACGCATTTACAGTAAAACCTCAGTTAGCAAAGGCTCCAGTTAAGAAAAAATTGATTAAACATGAAGAATATTGATTACATTTACCTCGCTCAGCAAAAAATCAAAAAATTAGTGCATCATCGGTCATCACAAAATTGTGCATAGAATGTCATGTATAGAATTGTGCACCAGGCATCATAGAATGAAAAGTAATTGACCTAAACTATGATTTATTTCTCCAAAACATATGATGGTTGTCACTAAAACATTCCTTTCTGTTTCAGGTATGTTTTTCTTGACCTTTTTTTTTATAGTAAATTCACTTAACCTAAAATGTTCTGAAATTACAAGCCATCCTGTAAGCTTATAGATACAGAAAAAATGCTATAAGGCTGCTGATTTGAAGCTTGCAGTGGACAAGGTTGTTGTAAATACTCAATGGCATGTTCATGGATACGGTAATATTGCATCAATAATACGGTAATTAATGTACCTATATGGTAATATCATATCAATAAAGGAAAAACAAGTAAAAATCACAGAAAATGTCATTTATTCTACCTCTACATCATCTAAAATGAAAGAGGAGGACTTCAGAGTACTGTTAGTAATGGATGAGTACACTCTGCATGCTTCAAGTGTTTAAAATGAAGTTTTATTCCCCGTCGAACGGGGAATAAAACTTCATTTAGCCGAGTAGCCCCATCAAACGGGGCTACTCAGGACACTCTTTTTTTGCTTCTGGCACCTTACGAATAGCATATGGAATTTTTTTGGAAAAGCCATGTGATAGCCCTTGCAAAGAGCTTTGAAATGAGCCTAAACTTGTTTATGAAATGTTTCATGGTAAGAAGTTATGAATGAAAAACGTTCGAAATCGTCCCGAGTAGCTCTGGTTGATGGTACTACATTGAATTTCAAAATATAATAAGTGAAGTGGTATGTATCTTATTTTGGATCAAAATGCCTAAAACCAAAATTCCACTTTATTATTCAGCTGCTACTTCAAGATTTGACCTGATGTCCCAGCTGGATTGATATTGATTACTATATATTTTTATATGAGCTACTTTTCCTATAGTTTCATCATGCTGTTAACTCTGACATCTACCTTGATCTGCTTTTGTGTTACTATGGTACAAAATTGAGTTTATGAAGAGACATATTATTCCAAATTCTGAAGTTACTATACTGTGCAATGTGCATTACAGCTGAAAGATTTTAAATTTAACTGTTAACTTGCTGCTAACAATAAAGTGTGCTTGTTGTCATGACATGAAGAGCTATTTCAGAAGAGTCTTAATTATTTTCAGAGTGTACATGAATGTAAAACATTATATAATTGTACTAGAAAAATGATCAATGAAAAGTGTTCAAGTATATTTGTTTTTGTAAGTTGCTGAATTATTCTGTGAATAGGCACAAATAAATTCATAATCATGTCAATAAAGGCATTTGACTTAATACCTGTAATTGAACGTGTGGACTTTAGGGTGAGTATTGACTTGTTTAAATAGTATACTACAATTATTGATATTATTGCACTGCTCCTATGTAGCCTTCAATTGCATTTTTAAATGTGTAATTAGATTATGACTGAATTATATCAATTTTTTTATTTATACTAATGTTAGTGCTGTAGAAATTAGAACAGTAACTTAGTCAAAATGTAGAAAAAAATGCTAAAATGAATCATTTGAAAGTGAAAATGAATTAAAAATTAGAATTCAATTAAGCCAGTTAAAATTTAAATTGATTTTTATTAGGATTATATCAATATCTTAGGTGATTAATTTGCTTAAATCACATGTTCACCACAAATGTTAAAGCAAAGAAGCACCAAGCAAATTCATCAAGTGTGAAAAATATGTATTGGATTAGGATTTGTTATACACATTTCCAAATGGAACTCTTGTCTTTATAATACATCCAGTTCTTATCATCTTGAAATTTAAATTGATAGATTTTTATGTTCTGGTGTTGTACTCTTGTTGCTTAGGTTTTCATCTCTTCCATCTATCTTTCAATTTTCTGTTATTATGGTGCCTATGTATATTTTACATATTTTTTGGAACTGATGGTCTGCAAAACATTCTCAATGACAATATGATGAATTTACTTGGCCTTTTCTTTGCCTTCAAAGTCTTGGCATCAAAATCATAATAGTTTACATTAAGTTTACATTTGTTGTGTATTCAAAATGGTTTAGTTCATTCAAGACCTGAATAACTTACACAGCGTGACTCTAATTTTCTGTTCTTTGCATGTTTATTTTGTTCTTTGCATATTGTTTGACATGATATTTTGGGGAGCTTGGCAGCTTCTGAAGCTGAATATTTTCTTAGATGTATGATGTAGAATATTTTCTTAGATGTAGAAAAGCGTATGTGTTTTACATACGCTTTGGGCATAAGGTAGCACTCTAAAAAAACCTTGCAATGAAAAAATTGAAAGTAAGTTGAAGCACTGTACTGGTCTCACAAATAATTTTCATATTTATGCTTTAAACAAATTTTAAAAAGGCAAAAATATAAAATTTAAACTTTTCAGAACCAAGTATTCTGTCAATTTATTCCTTCTAAATACAAAATGACTCAGAATGGACATGTAGATATTGTATTAGAACTGCACCTAGGAATTTTATTCTCAAGTGTAGGCTCTAAAAAATATACATATATAGGTATATATACCAATGTATAATTTTAAAAACTATTTTTCATTCCATGTCTTGTATTTATATGAAGTGCCAATACTAAGAAAAATGACCAGACAAATTTATTTGATATGAATACTTTGATTTATTACAAATATAACTTGTATTATTTTGAGTATATTCACCTTTTCCCCATTCTTTCATACATTGCATCACCCCCTTCCATGGGCAAGCATTAAAATACAAGTTAAAAACAACTTTGAATCGCGTTTCAAAGTATCGTAGTTATTCTCTTTGTATTCATTTCTGTTATGGTTGAAAATTTAATTCCTACAAAATAAAATCAGAAACTTGGTGATAATGAATCGTTTTGATATTACATAAGTTTCATCTTTATTTTCATACTTGGCTTTATGTACCTAGGTAATATAAAACGCTTTCAGAATAGTGATCTTGTTTTAAGAATTTATGAACTGAAATTTGCAACTTCAAGATATAAAATTGGAGCAGATAAGCATTGTAAAAACATTGGTTTAAAAATGTCTGATAGTTGGTTATGCTTTCTTGCCTAAGCCTCTCTGTGAGGCTGAGACATTTCTATGTAGGTAGGTACTACCTATTCCTTTTTTCCATGTGTCTTGAGGCAAGTGCTATCCTGAGTGCCTAGTGAATTCATAGTCTTTTTTTTTTTGTGATTGCAATTTTATGGCTTTATAAATCAACTTTTATTATTTATTAATTATAATAAATGATTACCTATTTATTTGCTTTATAAATGAATATTTTTTAATTATAATTTTCCATACTGTGAGAGGTTAGAACGATGAATGTGTATTGATTGCAGTCCATTTACAGGTGTCTTGTTTTGAAGCCTGTGGCAATGAACTTTATCTAGGAACTGAAGATGGGTAAGTTCTAATTTAAACTGGTAATTTACACAATTTAAAAAATTTTCACTTGCCTAAATTTATTTGGTCACATTTTTTAAAGATATTTTTATATGAGCTGAAAATATTAAATTGCTATCATTACTATCTTATTTGAAGAATTTACTGGAAAGCAATCCAGATAAGGATTATTAATAGTCTAAGTCTAATTTAATAATTGATCAATTTATGATATTTCCTCATTCCTGTTTAGAAATTGTATTCATTATGAAAGTTATTAAATAGGTACTTGTTAAATACCTACTTGGTGAATTTGGTTGTTGGAGTTAATACATTCAATACCTTTACTAGGTATTTTAAGGTATACGTCAATTTGGTTATTTGAGTTAATACATGCAATACCTATATTAGGTATTTTAAGGCTTGTAAAATTAATTTAGTTTTAAATGATCTTCATTTCTTGAGATATAGGTACTAGGTAGTAATTTTGTTGATCATTTTCTTACTTTAAATTATTAATTGAAAATTAGTTGGTTAGTAGGTATTTGATGGTTCAAATCCAAATAATAGGTGGTATCTTCAAACATAACAAATTCAAGTTAAAGGAAGAAAAAAGTCAATGGATTTTCAAATATTGTTTTAATTTGTGAATAGAATGTGCATTTATATTGCAAGCTGTAATAGGAATTAAATGCTATAGAAAATCACTGCCATCGCTTCATTATTAACCTTTCCTGGGCAAGTTACCATGAATGGTCTCTAAAAATCTCCTTCCAAATAAGCCCAGCTTGTCCCTTAATTTGTGCTTGCAAGGCTCCGTTATCATGCCTCTGCCAATTTCCAATCATATGTAGCTTCACCCCCTGCCATGCCCAGTAATTAAAATGTTAAGATTTGTGAGGCTCTTTCTACATTTTTTAATCAAGTCAGAAGATGCATCAACAATCTAATTTATTTAAAGTAGATTGATAAAAAGAAATCAAATTGCAGCTTGATTGTTTCCCTTTGCATTTGAATTGGTAAATTAAAAAAATTTCAATTTATTTCCTCATAGTGATTGCTTTTTATGTAATTTTTATCTGTTACTTACTCTAATATCATGCTAAATTTTTAAAAATCCATACAAGTGAATTTATCTTATATTTCTCCATACTTTCTTGTATTTGTTCCAGAAATTCAAATTTCTGCACATTTCTATGTTTGCCTGCAAAAAGGTTAATACTTTTGTTTGCAGCCAAGTTGTGCACTACAGTGTGGGGGAGAGAACAGACTCTGAAACAGTTGAAACTTCATACACCATTAATGTGCTGGCACGAGTACAGCTTTCCAATGTGAGTAACATTTTTACTGTGGTTCCTGGCTCCAGATATTGCACAAGGAATTCACTTGGTAAATTTGAATACTACATTTGTTTTACCAAAAAATAAGTTGTAATAAATCGGTTTTTAGCTTACAAAGTAAAAAAAATTTGCCAGCCAACTATCAAGTATAGAATGAATTGTAATGGTCATCAAACTTTTCTTATATTTATTGTAACTATAACAAATTATTGGAGATAAATATTCATAACAATTCCTGGTTATTCTTCCATAAAAAAATAATATTTTATTTCTCCATAAAATATAAATAATTTCCTACAATTGTAAGATGCCAATTGTTTATCTATTGTTTCAGAAGCATAGCATTACTTGTCTTGGGGCTGCCTCAAGCACGGGCAGGCTGTTGGCTCTCGTGGACGGGCTGATCTTCCTCCTGGACTTGAAGACTTTAGAGACCATCACGTCCGCCTCCAAGACCAAAGGAGTGTCCACATTCTGCCTCAACCACAGTCCTACTCATCCTGATCCATTTGCTCTTGAGGTTACTTCCAAATTCCAATTATAAAAAAACGGCAATAAAGAAAATTTAATTGAAAATTTACTTTGACTTGGTCTTTGTGAAAAATTTAGAAATAAATATGACTGCAGAGTTCTTTTTGCTGAAGCTTGTCACGCAATTTAATACTAGGTAGTGTTACTTGGCCATGAAGCCTTCGAATATATGGTTTTTGTTTATAATCTAATTCCTGCTGTTTTGAGTCACCTTCAATTATTGTGCTATGTATTGTAAAACTCTGTTTTCTCAAGGTTACTCAACCAAGTTACATCATGTATAATTGATGATTATACATCATGTATAATCATCCTAATGTATAATTAACCCCAATCTATCTATAAGTTTTAAGCACTTCTGTCCTGCCATCATTGGGAATCTCATCTGATACTGAATGTTTATAAATTTTTCTTGCTTCATCTGCTGCGCACAAAAATTATTTTGTGATATTTTTCAATTACTCTCTACAGTTAGCTTTGCTCAGTAGGAAGTTTTGTTTTAAAAGTGATACATATGGTATGTATCTGAAATTTTTGAAACCTTAATTTTTATTGATTTCTTCCCTGCCGTGACAATTCAAGAGAGAACATTGCCATAAAATATAAGTTTCTTTGATAGCTTTCAGTGATGGTGTGCCATTAAGAGGAAAAGTGTTTGTTCAAGTCACTCCTTCAGGATTAAATACCTATTGTAAAGTACCTACATGATTAGGATAACATGCCCAAGTTATCTTACATTCCGTTAATAAATCTTTTTACAATAATCACGGTTTGTTATTAGGATGCCTCTTCAGATTTGAATAAATATGTTGTGTGAGTTACTCTGGTGGAGGAGGAATTTTTGCACAAGTATGCGTGTTGAGTACTGGCAACAGGACAGCATTCCAGTCATAATTACGTTATTGAATTCTAATTCAGATATATTATAATGTGGTACATTAAACGCATCGCTGTAACTACCAAACTTGATACAACGCCCATAACTAATGGCTTACTACCTGTAATTTTCACGTCAATTTTTGCAAATGATATTGACGCTCAAACGTGCTTGCTATCTAATTATGCTTCTGCTATGACATTGCGTTTTTCTTCTCAGAAATATATAAGTTACAAGATAGACACAATAACCACAGTCTTCCCTCGCCAGGTATGCGTGGGCCGCCGTCGGTGCGTCCAGCTGCTGGTGGTGCAGGAGGACCGAGTGTCCGTGTCCCGAGAGGTCTCGTGCCCGGACCCGCCCTGCGCCGTGTCTCTGGACGGCGTATGGGCGTGTGTGGCCGGGCACGGTCAGTACTGCCTCTACAACCTGGCGACGGGGGACGTGACGCAGCTCTTCCCTTACGACGCTTCCTGTGACGGACGGACATGGCGAGCACAATAGTGCATTTTTTCCATAAATGAGAAAATGCGCTAAAAAAGTTGTTATGATAATTTTGTGTTTATTTTCGTTATTTTGTTGCCCAGGAGGAGTTCCTTCTGACGGGACCGAGCGGTCTCGGGATGTTCGTGTCCTGCGATGGCGTCTCCATCCGCCCCCCCATCAGCTGGTCGGACGACGTGCTCGCCGTGGCCTACCATCATCCCTACATCCTCACCGTCACTCATCAGTTCGTTAGGATTTACAGGTCTGATTAATCTGTATTATTATTATTATTATTGTATATTTTTAATGATTCAGTTATGTTTTGTTTAATTCTATTGGAAGCCAAGCATCAGCGGGATGGCCCTCAGATCGTCCAGTGTGGTGGTTATGTGCGTTTTGTTTAGTTAAAATAAAATTCCATTAGCGGGATTTCCAAATGATCGGTGAGACGTGAATCGAGTTCAGCTGTCGATACGAATATTATTTCGAGAATGCACCACTTAATTTGTTCATTAGCCTGGTTTGAACGTTATCATTATTTATCTCACGTATATACGGATTCCTTGATTACGAGCCGTGAAAATGCAGGAATCTCTCCAGTCAATGGGCAAGTCATGATAAATAAATCATTCATTCCTGCTCGGTTTCTTGTAGTTGAGTTGAGTCCACGTCTTCCTATTGCGCTCATCTCTGATTATGATCAGATCCTTTATTTGTAACTTCTCTTGATGATAATAAGATATTTTATTGATCACGTTGATCTAATATCACTGTGAGGTTATTCACCTTGTTATGATTAGCTATGCGGTGCTGTTTAAGTGAATCCTTATTAGTCACAAGCGACGTCCTGGCTGTTTTCATGATTATTTATTATGTTGCTTTGTAATGATTAAAATCTATAGCTCATTGAATAAATTTTATTATTATTGATGATTTGGTCTGTGGCTTGCAGCGTCGTGGACCAGCAAGTAAAGCAGACGGTGCGCTTCAGCGGCGGGCGCCTCGTGGGCAACTTTGACGGCCAAGTGTACCTGGCCTCAGCCTCCTCCGTGTACTGCCTCATGCCTCAGCCCTGGCACAAGCAGGTCCAGGTACTGCCTCATGCCTCTGCCCTGGCACAAATATTTTCATAATGAAACATCCATGCAAGGCCTAGCAGCCTAGATGGAAAACCCCGCGATGTGTGAACACGAAGCCGCGCAGTGCAGTGGTTAGAGACTCTCACCCCCAGTGAACCGGGGTTCGAGTCCCACACGGGACAAGTTCTTTTAGAGAACTCAGCTCATTGCCAACTCAGCGATTCGTGCAATTCTGGTTAATTAATGAGTATACCTAGCTTGTCCAGGGCGTTGTGTAATGCAATGTAATGGTTCTGGCGGGTCAGCGAATCAATGATGGTCGTGGAACTACCTTAGAAAAACTGATACATCAAAAATGATCATCCACTCTCTTCCCAAATTGCCACTACCAGGATGAGCAATTAACACATGTATGAACGTCAATTTGTACGTTTAATTTTACCCCGATGTCAGCTGCAACAGTAGGGATACGTAGGACGGTATTTATGTTCGTGCTGCTCACTGCTCGTATGCTGCTCAGGTTCTGTTGGGCGAGGAGCGAGTGGAAGAAGCTGTGGAGCTGTGCGAGCAGCACGGGGGCCCTCAGCACGAGCAGCTCGTGCTGACGGTGCTGCAGCGCGCAGGTTTCCTGCGTCTGCTGCAGGAGCAGTACGACGCCGCCGCCGATTACTTCCTGCGCGGCAGACTCGACCCTAGGGAGGTGAGGGCTGGTGATGTCATGGCTGCTCTGATAACTAATTTTGGGGGTCGTTTTCTTCACTGCCGTTAATGCCATTGTTGTCCTTTTTGATGATATCTTAGTGTTTTCGATGATGTTGTTATTTTATTGTCGTTGTGAAGGCAGAGGGATGTAATGTAATGAGGAAGGCAGAGACGCTTACATTCTAGACTTTCGTTCAGTTGATGCGTGTGTATGCAACTGATGAAGGCAGAGACGTTTAAATTTTTATTCTCGCTCAGTTGATGCACGTGTTCCCGGGTCTGTTGCCGGCATCAAGCGACTTCGTGCGTGCGGTGCCGCCCTTACATCGCATCGTCAACCTGGAGGTGGAGTTCAGCAGCGCTGGTGGAGGCAGTGGCAAGGATCGACTTCTTCGTGCCAGCAGTTTCGCCCTGGAGTTCCTCATTGCCTGTCGGGGGACTGGTTATCACTCAGAGGTGCGTTGCCATTGAAACTTTTGATTTTTTTCCTCTTTTCTTACTAGTAAGCTTGGTGACGGGCTTGATTCAAGACAGTCTCGACTCTACTTATAAGCTATAATATAATATAATATAATATAATATAATATAATATAATATAATATAATATAATATAATATAATATAATATAATATGATATAATATAATATAATACAATATAATGAAATATAATATAATATACAGGACGTGAACACGGGCATCGTGAAGCTGCTGTGTGGGCTGCAGCGAGTGGAGGAGCTCAACCGCTTCCTGGACGAGGCGACGTCAGGGCGGCTGCGGTGCGACGTCGCTGAGTGCGCTGAACAGCTCAGCACCTCACGCCTCTTCTTCGCCCTGCACAAACTTTACCAGTGTGACCCCAGCCTTGAAAATAAAGTATTATATTTGTTTCTTTTGAATATTTCAAGTGAGATCGTTCCTCTTCGCCCTGCACAAACTTTACCAGTGGGGCCCGAGCCTTATAAATAAATTATATTTGTTTCTTTTGAATATTTCAAGTGAGATCAAATGGCATTCGATCTATAAATTTTTGTTTCTGGAATTTTACCACTGCGACTTTAGCATTATAAATAAAGATTTATTTCTGTTGGTGGAGAATATGCGTTTATTGCATTATATGTTTGTTCGTTTATTGCATTATTCACGATATTTCATCGCCATATTCGTAATCGCATAATCTTTTTCATGTTCAGTGCGTGTGGTGAGAATGAGGAGGCCTCTGATGTGCTGGTGCAGCTCACGCGAGGGCAGCTGCACGACGCCCACTACCCCGGCCCCCGATACTTCAGGGACTTCTTGCTCAGGTTTGTCTATAGTTGTAAACGAGAGATTGGGTACAAATCGGTTCATTTTTAATTCCTTAATATTTAAAAAATTGCATATAATAACTATGCATGAAAATGCTGATATCCGGGATGCTTTGATAGTCTACTCTTGGGACTCAGAAAGGAAAAGTCTTAAAATATATACCACTCAGTACTCACTTCAGTGAGTGACAGAGAGCGCATTTTCTCGTCGACGAAAACGTGAGGTCACGGACGGACAGACAGACGGACGGACATGACGAGCACAATAGCGAAGAGCTGTGGTGGTGCAGTGGTGAGAGGCTCTGTCTCTCGCACCCAGCGCCCGGGTTCGAGTCCCACTGAGGACAAGTTCTACCTAGAGGCTCAGCTCATGGTCAACTCAGCTATTCATCCAACTCTGGTTGATAAATGAGTACCTGGTTTGTCCAGGGTGTTGTGTAATGCAATAAAATGGTTCTGGCGGGTCAGCGAGCCAGTGATCAGTGGTGAGAGACTCTGTCTCTCGCACCCAGCGCCCGGGTTCGAGTCCCACTGAGGACAAGTTCTACCTAAAAGCTCAGCTCATGGTCAACTCAGCTATTCATCCAACTCTGGTTGGTAAATGAGTACCTGGCTTGTCCAGGGTGTTGTGTAATGCAATAAAATGGTTCTGGCGGGTCAGCGAGCCAGTGATGGTCGTAGAACTACCAATGGCACCAAGTGCCCGGAAAAACTGACCTATCACCCCCCCCCCTCCCTAGTCGCCACTAACAGGGTGGGCAATTACAACAACACAACAACAGCACAATAGCGCATTTTTCCATAAATGAGAAAATGCGCTAAAGAGGCCCCTGCTTTACCGCCGCGGAGCGCCGCCTGGGGCTGGCGGTAGCACCGTTTGCCTGAGTTTCGTTTGTTGGGAGGGCATTTTATGGTAATTTCTAAGTTAGAAGCATGCCTCAACTTTGAAGATCCATTTTCTGATCATTACCTTCGGCGACATTTTATATTAATGATCAATTAACCTAGTTACTCCTTTAGCCGAAGTAAATTTAAATTAGGAAAACAATGTTTCGACTTTCACTCCTCATTCGTCAAGCCTCCAATGTTAGTACGAACTGAATATTAATCACATTTACGGAAAGTTTATTATTATCATAATTTACGTTGAACAAAAGGATTATGAACATCAAAACCAGCCAAATCTTGATCTTGATCACCCAAATCTAACAATATGTTCACCAATTGTTTTGCTCGTATAAAAGATATTGAAATTTAAGTATTACAAATTATTTTTCTTAATTGTATCTTTATGATGACTTTGATCTGTGTCGTCACCCCCAGCACCGGCAGCAAGGACCTGATCCTGCGGTACTGCTCGGTGCTGCTGGACGCCGATCCTGCCGTTGCGGTTACCCTCTTCACGGGGCGTCCTGAGGGCAAACCTGCGCTGAAATTTGACCCCCAAGAAGTCCTCGTGCTTCTGTCGGGCGTCCAGACCGCCCGAGTGGCCTACCTACATCACCTGGTCGATGAACTCCAGCTTACCGTGAGTTACCGTGACATTGAAGCGAGATCTGAGAATACATATTTTTTAAAAATATTATGTTAATAAATCCCCTCAGGAGGGACTTCTGACGCGTGTCTGTGTTCGTCAGAAGTCCTATGGGATTTTGCGCTCCTAGGGGGATTGTTCCTGAGCGCCCCACCGCTGAGCTCGCGGTGTCTGACCGTTGGTCTCAGTTGTGGGGTGAAGTTATTATGTAGGTAGGATTCCTTACATTAAGTTATTATGTAGGCAGGATTCCTTACATTAAGTTATTATGTAGGTAGGATTCCTTACATTAAGTTATTATGTAGGCAGGATTCCTTACATTAAGTTATTATGTAGGCAGGATTCCTTACATTTCCCTTCTTTGTCTCTCTCGTGCGGGCGGCCGACGTCCCGTGTAAGCGACCTCTTGTTCGAGTGTCTTCGTTTCTGTTGCTTTTCACCTGTCCCTCCTTCTTGTCACTTCGTCTCTTCGAGATGCTAACGCTGCTTCTTTCGAGCCAGCTTCAGCGGGCTGGACATCTGAGACCTCCCGCCCCTTGTGGATGATGAATTATTTTTGATTTAAGAAACTTTCGATAACTGAGACCTGCCACCTCTTTCGTGATATTCATCTTAACTTTCGGTGCGAGATAGCTAAATTGCTGAAGCTTTAGTAAACATTTGGCCACTAAACTAACTATGTTAATAAATCGATGCCGTGCCTCCAACACCTGGTCGGATCGCTTCATACCCGGACCGTCCCCGCGTCGATCGCTTCCCCTGTTAGTTGATTTACTTGCAGTTGACTTGCCGCAGGACGCAGACTACCACACGGAGCTCGTACTGCACTACGCCGACGCCGCTGTTCGGCTGGCCAAGTCCGTGTCCTTAGACCGGGCTACGTCCTCAGACCGAGCCGCGTCCTCAGACCGGGCTACGTCCTCAGACCGTGCTACGTCTTCAGACCGGGCTACGATCTCATGTGGTACCACGTCCCCGGTCCGTAGGATGTCTCCAGATAGGGCTGCGTCCCCTGGTCCTGTGGCGTCCCATGCTCAGACAAACGGAGTCCCAGATGAGGCTCTGCAAGAGGCGAGGGCTCAATTTCTGCAGGTTCTCGAACGCTGCAGCTACTACGACGCGTCTGCCGTCCTCGCACGCATACGTCACCACAAGCTCCTGCAGACCGAGAAAGCCATGCTGCTGGGCAGGGTATGTCATGAAATCTCCTTTTTGAGGTTTTATTAATACTAAAATGGATTTATTAATACTTATATTTACTAATTTTGTTTATCCTCTATCATAAATCGATATTTGCAAAGAAAAGGATGAGATTTTTTTTGGGCAACGTGCTTGTTGCGTTTCTTTAGTCTGTTTGAGAGGTATCTTTCTTCATCATTTATGACAGAGAATTCACTTTAAATTGATAAATATTCTTATTGCTTGATTCTTCATTCTCTCTTTGGTAAGATAAATAGTGGCATAACTGGGCCCCGGTTCCCCGAGAATTTGAATGTTCTTTTCTGAGATCGCAAAGCTGGTTATTCCGAAAATTATAAATTAGTTAATAATTTACTTAATTTAAAAAATAATTTCGATATGAAAAGGCACTTTTTTGTCAGCTTGGCGACCACGAGCGGGCGCTGCGGCTGTTGGTGCATGAGATGCGTGACTATCATGCAGCGGAGGAATACTGCGCTCATCAGCTGCAGCAGCTGCAGCATCTCGACGGTCCTATACCTCCTCTATACCTCCTCATGCTCAAAGCATACCTCCTGCCTCGACCTGGGTAATTTTAATAAGCTTATATTTTGTTACTATGACAACATCGCTCTGTTTGAGTTCGTGTCTTGGAAGTATATATACAGTGGTGGGAAATAAATATTCGTACACTTGAAAAATCGTATTTTAATGTATGTAAGTACACAAACTTAACAGGAAAAGTGATTTAAATTATGTATGAAGACGCATAGTATTCAAAAATACTATCAAGAGAAATTAAATCTCAATGCAACAAAAAACAATGTTACATCACCACCACCATCACCCTCCTGCACCACGCGGTGAGTGATGAAGGCCATACATCAGCACCACCATCACCCTCCTGCACCACGCGATGTGTGATGAAGGCACTTCCACGCGATGATTTAATCTCGCCTTAAACACATCGGTAAACTTTCCATGGCGCATCGCATTTCTTCGGCCACGATGCTTTACTTATTTCCGTTGGAATAGAATTTTTTGTATTTATTCCATTTATTTAATTTGACGTTTTATTTATTAAATACAATACTTGTATTCACTGAAAATCTTACCCGCCCGACAGAAGCGCAAGGCTTCACTGCAGCGCGGGCTCGCGGCCTGTGCACTGCGGCAGCGGAGGGCGCTGCTGGCGACGCTGCAGGCGCACGCGGGGCCTCTGCGTCTCGACCAACCCAGGTACTGTCGCCCCCTGCAGCCCCCTGCCGCCCCCTGCAGCCCCTGCAGCCCCTGCAGCCCCTGCAGCCCTTGCCGCCTCTGACGCCCTTTTCGCAATGAGGCCACCGACATGCCTTCTTTAATTAAGACTTATTTCTCCTATCTTTCAACGGCGCGAGATAGCTCGACCTGAAGCGCTAGCAACTACGGCCACTGAACTAACTAACTCCTAACTTTCAAACGTATATGAGCTCATAGCTGGTCACTAATTATCATCAAAATATAACTTGTACGTTATTTTTAAACCTAATCATTCAATGGGATTTTTTCATATTCATGAAATGCTCTCCCTCAAGCTTCCCTACGTAAAGTTTAATCGATTTTTGCCTTTTATTACTTCATATATCTTTCCTCTTTCATTTTCTCACACGCTTCCATGAAAGTCTCTGTCGTCTTATGCTTACAGTTTTACTTTTGGTCAGAAGATTGTACCGTAAAACTACACTGCAGATACTGCTTTGTTGTTCAACTTGGTTATTGCCGCTGTCTTTCCGACTCAAAATTTTGTTGTAATTTTCACGCTTTATGCAAAACAAAATCACTCAAAAAACTTTAAATTAAATAAAATAATATGAAAAAGAACGATTTGTGCCATCGGTTTACTGTCAGCGGTTATTGATACTCCGTCTTGTCATGTAATTATTTTTTACTTTATGAGAGCAGAAAGACTAGTTCAGATCCAGACATCTTGGATCCTTGAGAATGATATATTTTTACATTCATGACCTAATTTTTGCACATGCCTTACACATAACTTGCTGGAGTGCGTTGATACAGGAATATTTTAGATCTCTTTTGACATCAATTGTTTTGCGTTTCGAATTTGGTTTTTCTCTTTTACGAATGAAATTCCAATGGAATTAAAAACTATTGCACTCATTAACCAATATCGAAATCTGTTGAAAATGCAGTGATATTTTATTCTTACGTTTGTGATTGAATTTAAACAGGACTTAGTATGTGTTCATTAACCTATTCCTTTCTTAATGATGATAAAATTATCCCTATTTAGTAAAGAGAAACGATTTAATTCATTCCGTATTACCACGTATAATTAATGTTGTTTTGCCAGCGTGTGCATGGTGTGCTGCCAGCGGCTGTCGTCCCCGCGGTGCGGGTTTGTGGTGTACAGCAGCGGCGTGGTTGCCCACACGCGTTGCACACCTGACGTGACCACGTGCCCACTCACGGGCACGTGTGCCGCCAACGCCCACACGCGCCACAACTGAGCCACGCTGCCCACGTGGCGGTGGGCACGTGTGCCGCCAACGCCCACACGCGCCACAACTGAGCCACGCTGCCCACGTGGCGGCTATCCACAGTCGCTTTCACCGGCATATTTTTTCTTTAGACGCAATTAAACAATTAAATGTAAAAAATTGTTAAATTTAATTTAAAAAAATCAACTTACAAGTGAAGATATCATTTGCTTAGCATGTGTTAGCAATTGGAACATTTCTCTTCGCCAATATTAAAATATTGGATGCTCATGAAGAGAAATGGTTTATTTGAAGTCACCTTGCATTACATTTTAAGCGATTTTTGAAAACTACTGAACTATTTTGTACACTTATTTCTACATAATACACTAGTATTTTGTGCACTTAAATACTTTTTCAATGCCTAGCAGTTGTGCGCTAAGTTTTTTACACGCTGTAGTCGATTGTGGGTCAACTCCAGTAGAACTTTTCACAACACCAATATTCTAAAATTTAAAAAGTAAAAAGTAAAGTAAAGACGCATGAACTCTCATTGCCTACCGATCAAATGCTATCATCTATCTTTCCAAGAATTTATTTTCATGTACTCAGTAATTGATCGCGTTGGTGAGGTTTAATTTAACCATGTATGTCATTTGCCGTTCACGGATGCCATGTTGGAGAGTAAGAACGGCTTCCTGGTAGCGAAGACTACTTTCCTGAAATTATTTCTGTATTCCTATCGGTTCGTCTTGGTCTTAGAGTCTTCAAAGGAATTATTGAAACAAGTGCTTTATTTTAAGTATTTTCTTCTGTGATATGCCGTGAGTTTATAAGAATTTCTGCCCAAGTTGATAGCTCCTAAATTTTACGATATTTAAGGATCCAGAAGGCAGGGTTTCTGGTCTCAGGCTTAGTTTATGTTTACGAAATTGTAAAATTTATTGTTTATTCAGTGTTTTGTTGATATCTTCTTGGCATTCATGGTATTATAATTTATTGAGGTTTTTATTATTGAAATTAGTGTTGATTTTTCAGCTTTTGAAGCCGCGAAACAAATTTATGGTAAATTTCACTAAAAATAAACAACAATTGCAATTTAACCAGCTGTTGTAAACTCCTTATTGCTATGACGAGACTACAAGAATACGGCAATTTTTTTCTTATACCTGCATTCAATTGAGATAATCAGAACCTTTTCGCTACATTATCTGATCGATTCGAATTTTCCGTGTTATGTCGCGTTGTTTATATATATAAATTTCATGCATGGTTTGTCGCAGGCGCATTAGTACGGCTCATTTATAATGTGGAATTTAAAATCATTCAAGGAAATTAAAAGCAAACCGAACGCCAAGTAATTTGACCATATCTATATTGAACTTGGCGTTCTCTTTTAAATTCCTTGTTAAATTGCGTTTTAAGCTGACCAAGGATATAAGTACTTATATAAAATCATTCACTACCGCCTTGCTCTTTAATTTATCGTTTATTCCACTGTTTGCTTTCTTCGTTTTCTCTAGATTACAACGATGCTAAACCTATTCTGTATTTAAGTTGTTGTCGTACAACATATAATCTCATTCTCTACGAGGAACTCATTTCTTCTATTCCGTATACTCTTTTCATCGTCTTCCCTTGCTGCCTTTCTTATCTTACTGCTGACACTTTATTTCCATGTTTTATTTTTGTCCTATACCAGTGCGATGTTGATGCTCTAAATTTCCAAGAAATTTATGTGCTAATCATAACCATCCTTTGACGCCACATAGTCTCTTCATAATCTTAATATTTATGTCTTATTCTAACTACTTTTTGGCGCCACATAGTCTACATATATTCTTAATATTGTCGCAAAATAATCTTCTGACTGGAAGCTGGGCCGTGCAGGTTTAGTTCGGATATGTCGAGACTTGCTAAAAACTGCCTGCACCAATTCCACAAGCGGAACCTTCATTATTATCGTTAATGAATATGTTATGTGTCTCGTTCGTTTAGCATTTCTATTATGTTTGATATTTAACTAAAGATGGATTTAACGCTCCTGCTTTGCTTCAACCCAGTATGAGATGTTGCTCTCGAGCAATGGTATAGAAAACTTATGTAACATATTTTTTGATTTACAGTACATGTTTGAATTGAAGACTGGGCATTTTATGGGTGCTTGTTTTGTTACATTCACTTGAGAGCGTTTCTCGATATCAAACATACCCACGTTTTCGGTAGTCATGCAGCTAGAAGCTTGTCTAAAACCAAAAGTTGGAGACAATGCATGAAACAATTGACAGAATAAATAATTTTGAAAATTAACAAAATTTTGATATCTTAAAAAAAAATTGAAAAATAATTTTTTTTTCAATATTTGAAAATAAAATTAGAAAATCATTGTACATGTGGAACATCCAAGACACTGGATTGTTCAGAAGTGTTGTCTTTAAACAGTAATTTTTAAACGCATATTTTATCTACATTTTGTGAGTTCAAGGCAATCAAAATCATGATTCAAGAGTGATATTGTTATTTTGAAAATTCATGTCTTCAATGCGCTCTCTTCGCCTCCGCAGGTAAAAGGCATTTCAATATTCGTTTCAAATAAAAATTCACTATATAAAAGACATGGAATATCTGCAAGTTCCCCCCCCCCCCCCCCAGCCCATGAGGGGGGCGCTATGCTCCTCCGTGTTTTCAAAAATTCGGCAGGTTCCGAGCCCATGAGGGGGGCGCTATGCTCCTCCGTGTTTAGAATAATTCGGCAGGTAACAAATAAAACTTAAGATGTAACGGACGTTTGTTGCAACTCGGTCCGCGATTGTTGTTTAGTGGAAGCAAGTCCCTGAAGGCATCATATCCTACCTTTAGGTACCTAGTAATTGTTCATTAGAATTTTTAAGCATTTCTGACGTGACTTCCAATTTAACAACTCTAACGGAATTCCATTATTAACTAAAGCCATAAATTATCCTTGATCAGTCTAGCATGTATATGTATGTAATGGCGATGTTCATAATCTTTGCGTAATCAGAATGCTGCCGTGGGGGCGCTAGAAAATTTCGGGCAAAATCTGGTGCTGCTGGCTGAAACCTTAATATGGTATTCAGCGCGAGGGAATTTCCTGCCCTGAAACTTGAGTTCGTCAAGGTTGCTGCACATAAGTGTCAATGACTCCTTACTATTTGATACATTATCGTTTTATTCTTTACTACATTCAGGAATTTTTCAACATATCAACATTGCTCGTCGTTTCGACACCAGGCTTGAGCTACTGAACTTACGGAAGTTTCTGAGCGCTAACTCATATATTTTTAAGCTCCGCTTCTGTCCTTGCTCTAGACTAATGCTTCATGCCGCACAGCTGTACGCATAGTTTCCAACAATAAAATGCCCATGTTTCACGAAACATTGCATTTTGAGCTATGCACCGCACGGAAAATTAGTTGTACTCGCATTCATCACATTTTTAATTGATTTTTTAATAACTTAGGACGTGTCTGGGGAGAGAGTCGAAAACAATGATCGATAACAATGCTGCTCAGACATTTGACGAATTTAACGTAGATAGGATGACTCAACGGTGATTCAGCGTTGTTTGGCTGAATCAACGGTAATCAACGTTGTTTGGTTAAATCAACGGTAATTCATCGTTGTCCAACCTCATTTGCTAGATTAGGAACTACAGGCCCGCAAACGATGACAACCATGGCGTCCCCGCAACGGTCAGCTCAGCGTCGAGTGGTCTTCTGCAAATCCACTGACGAAAAGCGTCTTGTGATTCAGTCGATCAGCTGCTAGAAAAAAATAGTAATTTATTCACCCATGAGCGTTTAGAAAAGAAACAAAATAATCAATTCGTCCATGAGGAAGACTGAGGCAGGGTCGACCTGAGCTACGAACTTCGTTATTATAGTTCTACGCTTAACGTTTTCTATACCAAGCAGAAAATAAGTTGGAAGGAGTTTTATGATATTTTGTCTACATTAGTTCAATGATATTAATCATACCTCATTAACTGCTGACATGTTTGGACCGGAAGATGTTAAATGTAATTTAAATTGAATTTATCACGTTTATCTAGTTTATTATTCTGATTCACTCAAAAAAATGTTTATTGTCAGGTTGACAGTATTATTGTCAAAGAATTATTTCAACGTCCATAGCAAGAATCTGCCAGATTAATGAACATACATAATTACTGATGCTTGAATGAACATAATTACTGTTTCTTGTTGAGAAGGATATTGCGGCAAGGATTATCTGTCAGTATTAAGAATAATTGGTGGGTCCTGCGTCAAATGACACAATTGTTTCAGTGTTATTGTGATCCACTGAAAAAATAACAGAGTTAGTGATACATTTAATGTAATGTTCAGCAATTGTTTATCTATGTCAATAAATTATACTCGTATCGCATTAAATTTTAAGCTTTATTTTCTTATTATGCATGTTTCAACTAGAGAAAATTTAAATTAAGCCTCTGAGATGGAAGGCGTAACTATCACTTGGAGGCCTATGGCAGCTGGGGAACCGTTGGTCTGGCGAGATTAGTGAGGGGGCGAAGTGGAGGCAAAGTGTTCCCGCGTTATTAAGAAATATAATTTATGATTCATTCAATGTATTGTTATGATGCTGCTAATTTTTTAATATATTATTTAATTGCAATTTTAATAAATGTTCAACTGTTTTGAGCACGTAAATTCACAAATTGAAATAGGAAGCAAAAGTTGTATTGATATATTGTTTTCCTTCACAAGCACCTGAAAAAAATGTGAGAAATAAAATCGATAATTCATGGTGGGATTGGTGCGCGGCATTTTTGTTCAACGGTCTTTCCTAGCGAACAATTCCAAGACTAGTATTTGCCAGTGAGCATACCAATTACACGGAAAGCTTGAATAATTATATATTCTAGTAAGAGAGGCAGATTTTCAATGTACACATTATCCAGTTAGGAATTTAGTGGCGGCACGTGGATCTATTGAGATAGAGTTCCTATTCAAATGAAGACTAGAAAAAAATAAATTCCAAGGCCAGAAAATGCATCAAACTTTTTTTTCTCTATAGATTCATGAATAAAAATAATATTGAAGGATTTTGTCAGAATTATCTATAATTACAACATCTTAATTCTCTAATAATGAATTAATGAACACAAAATTTTTTGAGAGGCATATTCAAGTATTTTTGACTAAAGTTCCTGGTGACAAGATAATGATGAAGCAGCACATCTCAGAAATTTTCGATCCATCAATTCCAGGAGAGACTATGTCAAATCAATCCTCCTTTCGTATTATCGCTGGCTACTCAAGCCTATCAGTCGTACGCTGTCAGCGTTGCGCCAATGTAGCGGGCGAAATTAATTGAATGAAATCTTCACATCTTCCATATTATTATTTTAAAGATTATAATATACAAACAGTATAAGTTCAAGCAATAGATTTGTAATAAATATTTGTATCAATAATATTCCTGGCAATGAATAATATACAATCAATATAAGAAGGAAAACACTCCCCAGCGCGATCGCTGCTGCGCCGTCACACGCTCCTCGGTCCCCATGTTCGGGGAGGGGGGGGGGAAGTTAACTTATATTTTTCTTCCTTTTTCTATCTTCTTTTCTTCTTTTTCTTTGTTTCTTCTCATTCCTTCTTTCTTCCTCTCTTCCTTTTCTTTCCTCCTACTTTTCTTCCTTCATTTTCTTTCGCCACAAATTTAATACAATGAGTCCTGAATATAGATTTTTTAATGACATTACCTACATTATTTCTAAATGAACCTAATAGCTTTAAGGATCACTTGTGTTCATTGCGGTAGAATTTCAATTAAAGAATGGGAATGTAAGCGATGCAGGCACATGAGTGCACAAGTAGCTTGATGTAAGAGAACGAACTTTGAATTATGTACTGAAAATTAGAATATACCCGTAAAGGAATAATGCATTAGATATCACTTCAAGAATTAAATATAAGAAGTTACAATGAATGATAAAGGTTTAATTTTTAACGTTGACTCTGAAATGTGTTGAAAATTCTGAGCAAGACAATTCCAGACGTCACATCATCGCTAATCTTCTTCAGTTACCCCATCAAATTTTCTACGTCAGCAGTATCGACGGACCGGAGTCAAGACGCTGTGTCATTGACGTACAGCTTGTTCCCGTGTCGACTTTAAAGTATTTTTGAGGGCTGAAAAGCCACTAGAATTTGATAGGATAGTTATCCGAATAAAGTTCGGATTGCGGAATAGTAAATTTGTTTCTATTACCAAAATCGGCCGTAATATCAGTAGGTATTCAAGAGCAGACGTATGTCTATGGAGCTCTGATCTCCAAAAAATATGAATCAAATGAAATAAAATAACTGTGAATTCTCATCATTTCTCGATGTCTGTTGCTAATTCAAAAATTTCCAGTGGAATGAGAGTACATCGACAGCGAGGATATTTTTAAGCAATCTTCATTTATAGCTCCCAATATAGTTTCAGCGCTAGCTCGGTCATCCATGCCAGGCTTCGCAAGTTCTTACTGCAGGCAAGCAAACCAAAACTTGAGATGTTGACTCATTAAACAAATAAGCAAATAGCAGAAGCAAGTGCGACAAAAACTTGGTGGAATACAGCAATAGTTAGTGGCAAATTTTTAATTGACTAATTATTGGTACATTTTATAGGATTAATTAATGGTACATTTCTAAAGGGTTTAAATAATGGTCTATTTCTGAAGGATTTATTAATAGTATATTTTTAAAGGATTAATCAATGGTACATTTCTAATGGATTAATGTGCCCAGCAGAGTTATGGGAGGAATTTTAGGCTCGTGTAATACGTGCGGAAGCGTGAAGCATGTCCGACGGTTGGTGTACAGCGGCTCTAATCTTGCAATGGACGATAAGCCAAACATGAATTTATGGGAGAAGTTCTACGGAAATTTAATAAACTGTTGTTGAAATAAGGAGGGCGGCACAGTACGGTCAGATGTTCCGCCGAAGAGACGTCAAGCTTGACATAACGTACCTTTTTCGCGATGACGTGGACTTGCAAACATTGAATTCCATTAAATTTGTATCGTAAACTGTAATATCTATTTATATGAAAATTAATTTACTGAGGTTCAAATTTCAAAGTTATATGTAGGAAAATATATTCACTTGAGTTAAGGTTTCGAAA